TATGAACGGCAAGCAATGTATGTTGTTCACTCACTTAGAAGATTTTTGTGGAGAATGTATTAAATGACTAAATTCATGATAGATTGAAAACTCAGGTTCTGTAGCTGATAATTAAGCTTTAGCTCAGAATTCTGGGATGTTATTTACTCCATATTATTATTGATCATCTCGTGAATCAAGTTAACATCAGCCTCATATTTGGGAAGCGGTGTAGTGTTGAAAATGTAGTAAATTGAATATACTTTAGAATTGTTTGAGAATATATAAATGATTTAATTTGCCTTAGTTTTTTTTTTTAAAGCTTTTAGAAGTGGCGATGATTTAATAATGATGACCAAAACATTTGATTGGTGGAATTTTCTATCGAAGTCTCCCTCGATAATTTGGAAATTGTGACACTTGGAAAACTATAATATTCTTATGGACAAACTTTCTCTCTATAATTGATGTTTACAAAACTGAAAGTTCATTCTATATGTAGAGATACTTAATATACTTATTTATTATTATTATTATTATCATTTAAAAATATGTTATACTATATTGGCTATATGTTGAAGATTTGTTTGAGTGCTAACTGTAAAAATAGAGTCCACTAAGAGAGAAATCTGAATATCATGCTGTTTACTACTTATTTAATGAGCTTTGAGCACAGTGATATCTATGAATTCCCAATTTTAAATGATGGCAGCAAACTAGTAGAATATTCCCATCTTGGAATTTTCATGCATTTTAGATCATGTAGAACAAAGATGAAGATGCATTGACATCTAAGATTCTATAGGTGAAATAAAGAGGGTTTGAGAGGATGGTGTAGGGGTTAATTGAAATGCTGGCCTTATCCTCAACTGATGACAAGAAAAAGTTTGCAGCAGAATCTTAATGAGGGAGAATCAATGGAAATGGTGACCCTTGCTTTTAATATACCAGTGAGCATCGTGCATTTTATCTTCATATTTTACTAGAAATAACATCTCAATGCCTCAAAAGTTTGTTTGATGGAGATATGTAAGAATCTGTCCGAGTTTCGTCATTCAGTTTTATATTTTTCCATTTTACTTTCCTTCCTGGAGGGGGTGGAGATAATTGATGTCCTACTAAGGTGTTCTGATCCATATGTTTATGGGACCGATGAATACAGTGATGGAAATGAACTGGCTAAACTCTTATTAATCTCCACATCAGCTGCAGACGTAGAATTCACTGCATTGTTCAAGTTGCAGGCATGTCCAATATGAATTGATGCCATGTCCTCGTAGCTTTGTTCCTTTCTAACAAATTTCCTCGTAGCTTTGTTCCTTTCTAACAAATTTCAAGTGTGAATTGAATTGGGGTTGACATTGTTCTGATATGAAGGGACCGACATCTAACCCTTCTTTCAAAGGGAGAGACTTTCCATCAATGATGGTTGTAAAAAGATTTTATTGATGTTTTCACTTAGCTTATAATAAATCAAATTCTATTTCCATATTATGTGCTCGAGATTTCATTAAGGCTAGTTATGAAATTATTGATATTCTTGATGGCCGATGCCATCACCCCAGTTGGCCAAATAGAAGTGCTTTCTGGTAATGTTTTTGTGTTATGTATCTTCTTTATTCCAACTATAACGGGGTTTTACATAGATTGAAGGATACATCTTTAGATTAAGTGATGCCATATGCAACTTTGTTTGTGAAAAGAGGGTCACTATCAAGCAAATCATCGATAAGGGCCATTTTCCTTATCCAAAACAACTATCTGAAGGAACTTGCACTTTTCTATCCAATTACTTATGTCTTCCAAATTGTTTCGACTAAACAGTTCAATCCACTAGCCCTTCACCAGCCTTTATAAATACATTCGTTTATGCAAAGTCACCATGTCAAAACCTAAGCAAACATACAACCTTACTTCCATTCTTTCAGCTTCTTGTTCCTTGCTCCTCTACAAGCCTTTGGCTTTTCTCTTTTCCTCCTGCTTTTGTTAGTATAACTGCAGCCATTTCACCTATCTTTAGATATTTGGGTTTAAATATCTTTTGGAAGGAAGAAGAGTGGTTGAATTATAATGGATAGATTGAGAAATTTGGCATCTCAGAAAGCAGTAGTGATTTTTTCCAAGAGCTCATGCTACATATGCCATAGCATCCAGACACTCTTTTATGAGCTTGGTGCAAGCCCTGCTATTCACGAGCTTGACCATGAAGCAAATGGGCGAGAAATTGATTGGGCTCTTAGAGGTCTAGGGTGCAACCCCTCTGTTCCAGCTGTGTTCATAGGAGGAAAATTTATAGGCTCAGCAAAAGATGTTATTTCTCTCCATGTTAATGGGGATCTGAAACAAATGCTGATAGATGCGAAGGCCATCTGGTTGTAATGCTACAAAAAGCTAAACCAGGTGGTTCTTTCTTTGTTTCGTTTTGTCCTTTTTCCCCCCTGCCTTTATAATGTTGAAAAGGCTCGTACAAAATGTTGTAAGAAGGCTCTGATAGTTCTTGAGTTTACTTACTGAACTGTATAAAATGAAGCCATACTTACCCTGAGATCTAAATGTAGGTTATCTTTTCCTTGAACTCAATATTGTTTACCTCTTCATGCATTACAAAGAAAAAGGAAAAAAATATTAAATATTGATTCCAACAAGCCCACTACACTGTCTACGTAGGATTAGTCTTCATTGACTGATTTTGTTATAAAAAGTGAATAATAAGATAGGGCAGCAGCATGAGAGGTTTTTGTGGGTAAAACTGGTAGTTCTGTTTTTCAAGTCTACCATTGATTAAAATAGGAAGATGCACCACTGAGGAATTATGCACTTGCGAAGAAAAATCTCTTCTTGCAAATTGAACTGTCTGAAGTTGTCATTGGCAAAATTGTGTACTTGTTGACGGTTGTGCTTTTCATTAGATCTTCATACTGCTGCCAGACTGATAACCTGTCTGTACACATCATAATACTTAATTATGAGGCAAGGCATGTTGATAAAGACATGCACATGACATTTCTGCCTTACAAATTGAGCTTCAGATACTAGTGATCTAGTTTAAGCATCACATGTGGCTGGGGTTAATTTGATTGATCAGCGCATAACATTTCATATTTAGTTATTTAGATCCTTTACTAGTTCAGGGACAACCTGGTGATGCTGTAACTTTTGTGCCTGCCATGAACCTTTTAAATATCTTGAGCCAAAACCAATTTTGGAGACAAAATCAATAAATGCATTGAATTATGCTTTATTGTGCAGCCAACATGTTTTCGACCAAAAAGTAAGTTAGAGGTTTGAATCCCCACCCCCAAGTGTTGTTCAGCTCAGGAAAAAACATTATGCTTTAATGTTCAATGCTATATACGTATATATGTACACTCATCTAAAATATCAATAGAGCGTGTCTGTACATGTAACCAAGAACAGGATATGCTCTGTTGACAGTATGAGCATGGTTATATACTAGATATTACATTGGAGAAGATTTTATGAAGCTATTATTTTTCAGAGAACTCTGTCAATTGAATAAAGGGGGAAAGTTCAATCATTCCAATTCATATATTTGTATAACACCAGGCTGTGGAACTTAACTCTGTTAGGTAAATGAAGCTTAGCAAGCTCCACATGCAAGGAATCATACAAGTTGGTGGACAGAATACAGAGAACTACAGCCACTGAAGCCTGTCTTCGTAATGATTCAAAGAAGGTGATTGGAGAATCTGGTATTTATTGATTGGCATTACAGAATTTCTTGCTTTTGTTTTATTGTTTCTTGATAGCTATATTCTCATTTCCACAAACTCTGCAAAGTGGAAGACACGGTCATTGTTTTTACACGTCAGACAAAGATTGATAGGATAAATATCGCCACTTAATTACATTACTAATACAAGTGTGATTAAATTATAATCTACATATATCATATGGTTAATTATTCGTATATCAGCATCATAAAATAGTCTTGCCCACTGAATTAAAAGACCTGTCAACTTGTCCAGCCTGTTTGTAACAGTAAAATTAAAAAGTTGCTTTTATTAGTTTGAGCATCTAAGGAAAGCACAAACTCTTTTGAACGTTCTTTTATATAAATATATATATAAAAAGAAAGCAATCTTCCTTATGTTGTCTCTATAAATAGTCTTGCATGCGAGCTCAAACTCATAATACAGCAAGCATCGGTATTAGTTTTCTCTTGCACATTTTTCCTTCAGTATTTAAAGCCTATATAACCATATTTGGACCAAATTTGAATAAATTTGGTCCAAAAAGGTTATAAGGTTTTAAACAAACTTGAAAGAAACCTTAGATATCCAGTATACTTTTGTTGTTGGGTTTCATTTCATCTGCAAGGAAAACTCTATCATATTAAGAAGAAGGCATGGATAAGGTTAAAAGGTTGGTTGCAGAGAGGAGTGTGGTCATATTCAGCAAGAGTTCGTGCTGCCTATCATATGCAGTTAACATTCTATTTGGGGAACTTGGAGTCAATCCTTTGGTGTATGAGATTGACCAAGACCCTGATTGCAGGGAAATAGAGAAAGCTCTCATGAGGCTGGGATGCAATGCACCAGTACCAGCCGTGTTCATCGGCGGAAAGCTGGTCGGATCTACTAATGAAATCATGTCACACCACCTTAGCGGTGATTTGACCAAAATGCTGGTGCAAAGCCATGCTTTGAATAAATACTAATTCTAATTAAATTATTCACTATTCTGTTGGAGAAGGAAAGCTAATAAGTTGGCTCAAGCTTAATAACGAATAGTTATGTGATGTCTCATGTGTCAAGAATTATGTAGCAATTGTTTAGCTGTGTAGTGTGTAATATGTTTGTCATTATTAATGAAGTCAGCTCCTATTTTATTGTGTTTATATTTTCACTGTTGGTCTCTGAGCATTTGACAAAGTTGCACTCTGTGCCTCTCCTCCTTTCCTTAATATGAAACCAATACGCAACTGAACTTTTGTTCCTAATTTGTCATATCATGGTGTAGCCTCATTTTTTGTTACTAATCCTTCCTTGTCAGACTCTTTGAGATCAAAAGTAGCTGGAAAATCTGTCTGCAAGTATCAAAGCATAAGCGACCCCAGGTACGACATACTCGTGGCTATACTTTCAATACTTTCGATGTTTTGGCTCAGTCTGAGTATCCAAGTGCCTGACAACGCTACATGCGTTGATCGTATTCGTTAAATTAGGATGCGCCATTGATCAGATACAATATTCTTGTCAAAGAGCCAGTTGGACTACTTGTTGGGTCTTGGTATTTTTTAAGAATATTGATTAGGAAGAGATTAATACGAAATGTAATGATCAGTAAAACCAACATAAATGTCACTATGAGATAATTCTACATAGCAATGCTCCACGTGCTATTACAAAAGTTGAAGGAAAAAATGCTCAACTTTTCCTGCATGTGGGGCTGCAGATTCTTCTACTTTTTCATATGAAGATAGGCATCAAATTCCATGATATTTATTCCCTTTTGATTTCCTTTCTTTTTTATGTCTGTGATAGTCTTCCCTTCAGCAGTCGATATCGTTAGCATAGATTTTGTGCCGGCTCAGCTAAAGGCAAGCTTCGTGATGATCGATCGAGCATCTCCACGACACCCTTATACAGGTACTTCCCTTTTTAAATTATAAAGAATATTGCTCAAATTAGTTCTTGGAAGTTTTTTTTAGTAGTAAAATGTTGGATTTTGATCACGACGGATCTGGTTCTGTTATGTTGTTTCTCTACTATTTACCATCTCTGATTGTTCAAAAGTTTTTTCTTTTATGATTTGCATTAGCCTTTCTGAGAATGGAAAGAATTTGTTCAGATAATTAGTAGAGGAATACTTGGCTTATTTTGGAGAGGGAAAAAGAACCAAAATAGTGGTAGAATGGTTAGGATTTTGGACAAAATCCAACCAGAGAACATTCAGTGGCGTTGTAGCCAATTAAGAAAGAATCAAGTCATTAGTGGGTCCAACAATGAAATTCCTAAGATTGGGGAAGAAATCTGTCAATTAATCTCACCCGTTTGATTTTTTTCTTTTTTTCTTTTTTTTTCTTTTATGGCTTGGAGAGCTGGATGGGAGATAAAACAGGATTTTGTTTGAGGAATCAAATAAATTGGAAAAAATAGGACCCCTAAAATGTATTCTAAACATATTTGGACAACTGATATTTGAACTTTATACCATATATGTGTAACTTCTTATTTTGCACAAATTTAAGTTTGATGGATACTCATAATCGACTATTAAATAATTCTATCAATCAGTAACTCTAGCATTGAGCATTAATTAGTGTCGTTCTTCTTTGAAGTTCCATTCATATTGTGTTATATTTATTTCATATTCATTGAAGGCATATGAAAGCAATATGTTAGGAGGCAAAGTTTGCAAATTTTTTTAAGAGGGTAACGATTATAATACTTGTTTTAGTTCAAATTACAACTTCGATAAAATTGAAAGTTTAGAGTAAAAATTGATACACATTTCAAGTTCTAGGGTAAATTCTTTTATTTTGTATGATATTTTGAGTTAAATGACTTATTTGGTACGTATGATTCCAGAATTAATTCTATTTCGTTTCTATGGTTGAGATGAATTCAATTTGATTTTTATGTTTCTTTTGGTCTAAGAATTGAGATATGGGGCCACTCTTTGTAATATGGCTAGAGTGGATGGTTTGTTTATTTATTTATTTGCATATAAAGTTATTCTTTCTTTTAGAATCACATGTTTTTTTTAATATCAATTTTGATTTTCAATGGGCATAAGAACCTTAAAAAGGGTATTTGTTTGGAGGGTTGAGATTAAGGTGGGTTAGCATCCTATTTTATTATCTTTTTTAAATTCTCCTCTATTTTCTTATTTGTTTGAAATTAAGTGTCATTTAAATTAAATCATTTTTCCGTATAACAATTAATTTTATCTTTACGTAATAATAGTATCTTTTATTAGTTGAATTTAGCAATTTATTGTACCTTTACATGGCAATAATATCTTTATTAATTTAGTTTAACAATTATTTTTTGTAGTCAATTCAATGCAAAAATGTTGCTTTTTGAGAACTCGCAGGTGAAATAAATAATTAAAAAAAAAAATCAAACTTTAGGGCTTTTTAGTTGCTTGGATTAAAAATATAATTTAACCAAAAATGTATTATTCGAATGGATAATTTTTAAATTAATAGCCGAATCTGTTGGATGATAAAAGTCTCAAATCGGCTAATTTAGGGAATGATCATGGGTTTATAATCAAAGAATATTTTCTCCATTGTTACGAAGCTTTTCGGGGAAGCCCAAAGCAAAGTCATCATGAGAATGTCTTTTGGAGAAGCCCAAAGCAAAGTCATCATGAGAATGTCTTTTGGAGAAGCCCAAAGCAAAGTCATCATAAGAATGTCTTTTGGAGAAGCCCAAAGCAAAGTCATCATAAGAATGTCTTTTGGAGAAGCCCGGGCGTGAGAGTTTATGTTCAAAGTGGACAATGACAATATTATATCATTGTGGAGAAAGACATTTTAGGAAAACCCAAAGCAAAATCATGAGAGCTTATGTTCAAAGTGGATAATGATGAGAAGCCCAAAACAAAGTCATGAGAGCTTATGTTCAAAGCGGATAATGACAATATTGGATAATGACAATATTGTATTATTGTGGAGAGTCGTGTTCATCTAATACAATCCACTCAATTATTATTATTTTAATAAAAGGAATAAATAAAGGCCATCAACTCTTATTATTATTTTAATAAAAAATAATAAATAAAGGCCATCAACTCTTATTATTATTTTAATAAAAAATAATAAATAAAGGCCATCAACCCAATAGTTTCCCCCCCCCCCCCCACACAACTATCAGGTGGGATAATTGATTTGAAAACGGAAGAATTCAAAGCCTACTCGCCGCCGGTCAAATCCGGCCAACTAAAACTCATTAATCCTAACATTTCTCGGATTATAAATAATGCTTCCATAATCCTTCACCTTAATCAACCACTCCCAGTTCAAATGGCTCCGATCAAATCTTTAATCTCCATAGCTCTTCTAGCTCTTCTCTTGCTCTCTGAACACCTACCCATTTCCGCCGCCGATCACGGCGTGGCTCCCAGTCCTCTTGCCAGAGTGTTTCGCCGGGACACCCTTCAGACGGCAGAGCGTCATCAAGTTGCAGAGAATGGAATTGGATATCAGTACTCTTTTGAACAAAAAATCAGAAGGCGAGCCCGACGAGCTGTTAGGCGAGCCGAAGGTCCAAGTCCATCGTCGGCGAATTGGAGCCAAACGTCGTCGTTTGGGGTCGGCTCTCTGCTGTGTCTCTGTACTGTCTTTGGTTTGTTTTTGTGAAGTGAATAATGGTGATTCACTACTCTGAATTTGTCATCGGTTTATTCATTTATTATTTTTTAATAAAAAATTTGAGTTGTATTTTACCAATTTAATTAAATTCATTTCCTATATTTTCTTAATATTTTGTTACATTTTGTCAATTTTTAATAATAAAATAACATTTTGAATTTACTCGATAAATATTGTATCGAAAGCAGCTCCAATCACTCTTACAATTTACCCATGAGCCAAGGCCCTCCACCAAACAGGAAGGGAAGTCCCATCTAGACGGAGAATGGAGAGTGACTGATAGAACATTTTTTAACTATCACATAGATAAACTCGGGAGACGATATTATATTTTCCTATCTACATCTGATTTTCTACTCCACTTTGCTTAATATTGAATTTTAATTTTTTAAAAAGTGTATTTGTAGAACTCAATTATCAAAATATATTGATTTATTATTCTTTTATCATTTTTAAATAAAGATATTAAGAAAATAAAATAAATAATAATAAATGAGAAAAATTAATATTGACACAAATAAATAAAGAATTTAGGATGAACATCTTTAATCACTCTCAAGCAGTTCAACAGCTGATGGCGGGGAGGCTTCGAATTCTCTAGCCCGGACGCTTCGCCGGAACGTCCTTTCAGACGGCGGCTCAGCCGACTGCAGAGAACTACGGCGAGTCCTCTTCGGAGGAGAAGACGAATGTTCATATTAAAAAGCGGATCCGACCATTGCTAATCGGCGGCCATAACCGTGCATCCGCCGCGAATCGAAGCCCAACGCCGCCTTTTGGCATTGTTTTGTTGGAATTGCGTTTCGATTCGTTTCAGGTTTCAGGCTTAGAATGTTCAAATTATTCGTTGATTTTATCAAAATTTAACAATATATAAAGTGAGCTAGAAAGAAATTTCTCCTACCTACCTCTCCCAAGAAAAATAAGCTACGCGTTTGTTAATAAAACCAAATAATATCATATGGACTAAACTGAAAGCGCGTCAAAAAGCGTGGGAGAAATTCAAATACCTGTTCGCCGTCGCAATCCATGGTCATCAATGGCGGCTGAATCAGACACTCGTCTTCCTAATCTTCTCTGTTTCTATATAAAATCCAAACAATTAAACATTATACCTTATCTTCAATTCCTCCATTCTCATCTCTATCGGCAAATCGCACAAATGGCCGCTCTCAAATCCCTAGTTTCCGTAGCTCTTCTGGCTCTTCTCTTATTCTCCGAATCCCTAACAGCTTCTGCCGTCGATCGTAGCGGCGATTCAAATTCTCTCACCGGGATGCTCCGCCGAAACGTCCTTCAGACGGCGGCTCATCAGATTGCAGATAACAGTGTCGAGTCCTCCCCCGAAAGGAAGATGAATGTTCATATCAAAAGGCGGATGCGACCAGTAGCAACTGGCACCCGTTCCTCGGCGGCGAATCGGAGCCGAATCGCTTCCATTGGCGTTGGATCTGTGCTTGTTGTTTTAGGGCTGTTCCTGTGAATTTGATGGATTTGGTTCTGTAAAAATTGGGATTTATTCTATTCGTTAATTTATTTATTTGATGAATATATATTTTTTTCTCTGGGTGTATTTAGTCTTTTTAAATTATTTCATTATATTAAATTATTAAAATACAAATTCCATAATGTCCATTAATTTACTTATTATTATTTTTAAACATTAAAAAATATATTTAAAAATGAAATAAAAAGTAAAATACAAATTTTTTTTTTATTTATATTTTTTTCTCACTTTTTATGGATAGAAAATTAAAAAGAATAAAATTTAAGTGAACACGAGCAAAAAGAAAAATATTCAAAAGTCAAACTCTTTTAATGTCGAACATTTATTCAAAAGTCAAACTCTTTTAATGTCAAACATTTATAAATTTATTCATTAATCTTATACGCAAAGCTTTAAAACTCGAATAATATAAATTTTATTATTAAAAAAATACTAAATTTGAAAAGAACATAAAATGGAATTATAATAAGGTGGGTTTTACTTTATTTATTTATTTATTTTCCCTTTCTAAAACTTAATAATTAAAATAAAATTGGAGTAAAAAACAATATTTTATTTAGTCCGTGAGAATTTTAAAAATTAAAAAAGAAAGAAGAAAAAGAAAATCATAATAAAACAATTTTTAGTTTTGCAATTATTCTCAAACGAAGCCGAAGAGCTCGAACAGGGAGACGGTCTCCAATGGAACAAGAGGACTCCCCTGTGCCCCAATCTGCCGGGAGAGAGGATTTCGGAAAATTTCAGCACGGGTATCGATTGCTGTATCATTTGTTGTTCTTCTTCTTCTTTGTTCTCGCTTTTGTTATTAGTAACTTGTTTTCGATTTCAATTAGATGCGAGCATTATAGGAGGCGTTGCAGAATCCGAGCCCCATGCTGCGACCGAATCTTCACCTGTCGCCATTGCCACAACGAGGCCATGGTATGTCTCTCTTCTTTCTATGCCCTTGTGTTGCGTGCGTTTGTTTGTGAGAGATGTATTGGAAAGGATTTTGCATATGCTGTTAAACTCGAACTTTCTGTAATTTTCTCTAGTAGTTTTCTGAATTTTCTGAAATTTTCGTTGATTTTAGACTTCGCTGAGCAATCCTAAGGACCGTCACGAACTCGTTCGGCAGGACGTTAGACAAGTCTGTTTGTACGCTGTTCTATTGTTTTTTTTTTTTTTTTTTTTTTTTTTTTTGTGAATATGACATCTTTTAGAGCATATCGTGATGTGAATTGATTAATTTTGTTGGAATTGTTGCTTTAGGTGGTTTGCTTGATTTGCAACACAGAGCAAGAGGTTTGGGGGACATTTTTTTTGTTGTTCTTGGGATAATTTCCATTCATTGCGTTTAGATATTCTTGTTTTTGCTCTGCTAAGCGTTTATATTTGGTTTATTATAGGTTGCTAAGTCTTGTTGCAAGTGCAATGTTAATATGGGAGAATACTTCTGCGGCATCTGCAAATTCTACGATGATGATGTAGGAGAAGTTTCCATCAATCTGTTTCTTTCTTACTTTGTTCTGTTTTGTTTTCTTTAAGAACTAATTTTCAGTTTTAAACTGTCGAACCGAATGGTTTTCTTATCCTAGATGCTAATAGATTCTGCTATGAATGCAGACCAGGAAAAAGCAGTTTCATTGTGATGCGTGTGGTATCTGTAGGTTCGTGTGCATATTTCCCGTTCTAGTTCTAATGTAATCTCAGCTTTCTGTGCTAAGTTTCTCAACAAATGTGTTCTTTGTTATATGATTTTCAGGGTTGGTGGTCGTGAAAATTTCTTTCACTGTGAAAAATGTGGTATGTCATTCAATTCTCCTGATGGTTAGTTAGAAATACACATTGTGTTATTCATTTACTGTTTGAGGTAAATGTAGCAAAAGGATTTCTCTGGTTTGTCTGTAAAGTCTTTGATACTATGTAATAAAGGCACACACATTGAGGCCATATGAGACTGAAACAATTAGTAAAATGTGAGCGATTGAGCGAATAAACCGTTCAGATGAATTAACTTTTTTTTTTATAAATACAGGATCTTGCTATTCCACTCCTCTGCGTGATAACCACATGTGTGTTGAGAACTCCATGAAAAGTTTTTGCCCCATCTGTTATGAGGTTTGTCCTTTTAGAATGCATCTTTTCTCAGGGAAGTATAATCTAAACTGTTCTCTTCTAACAATTTTATTGATGCTTGCAGTTTCTTTTTGACTCAATAAAAGACACAACTGTTATGCCTTGTGGTCACACAATACATTTGGAGTGCTTTAGAGAGATGGAATCACAGAATCAGTAATCCAAACTCCTAATTCAAAATCCAGTTTCTGAATCTACTATTAAACATGTTTCTAAAAACTTTGAATATGCTACATACAACTCTATTTTCTATTATATCCATTGCCTTTTATTCTCAAACCAAACTGGTTCTAAGTTTCCTGTTTTGAATTACATTAAGATTTCCAGTTCTCTTGTAATAATGAAGTTGTATCTGTCTCTCAGATACCGTTGTCCTATTTGCTCGAAGACAGTTATGGACATGTCTGCAAGCTGGGCATTGCTGAAAATGGAGGTGTGTTTCATCTTAGTTTAGGCGTGATAAAAGTGGCATGTAGAAGGCAATTAGATTACTGTCTTTTTTATCCATAGAGCAGTTTCCCCAGTTAGTGAATATGGTAGAACAGGTGGCTTCACGTAAATTTTAGCAACCTTAGAAATTAGAATATATATCTTATCATTGAACATTGTACCCACTCTTCAACCTCCTGACCGATCTTTTCGTTTCTTTCTTTGTCTTGATGTATGATTACATGTATTGGGCTGATTCTTTGAAAGTTGATGGTTGCAGACTCAATATCTCAATAGAATTCTAACCGAGTGATTGCATGAAGAAAGAGATTTAAGAAATGAGTGTGGATTCAGGGCTTTAGTTATGCCTTAAAGTTGAGTTTAGAGGGATATAGAGGCATTAACATATATAATTAAAAATGAAAGAGGAAGATGTCCGTGAGAGCTATATATATTCTGTTACAGACAAGTACTTGACTTGATCTTATACGACCTTAAATCATGTTCGTCCACTTGAATAAAATTTTCTCTTATTTTTATTTTTCCCTCATTTCCCATTTACCCATTACCTGTTATCAAGTTGTTATTGGATGGTAAAATAGATCTTATTGGATGCTTACTTTTTGGTATTCCAAGTGGTATTTCTATCTATTTGCAAATTCTGACATGTTTCTTCTGCCATATTCTGGTGTCGAAATTCCATAGATTTTTGGTTATCTTAATTATGTTTTCTTTACCATAGATCTTTTGCGATATTATCTTAAATTTGAAAATTGTTTCTATCTTATCTAGATTGACTGCACACCGATGCCGGAGGAGTACAGCCACGAGGTAGTTGCTTGTATACATGTTTAGATTACCGCAAGAATGAAATCTTCTAACTTAACTGTGTACTTGGCTTAACAGGTATCAATTCTTTGCAACGACTGCAGCCATACGAGCAAAGTTCGTTTTCACATTTTGGGACACAAGTGCAGTCAGTGCAATTCATTCAATACTAGGAGGATTTCTACCGGAGACGTCAATGAAAACTGAAGGTAAAGAAGTATGAGGCTCTCTTAATCTCAACAACTAGGTTATGTTGAACGTTTGATTATTGGAGTCATTGATCCATTTAGGAAGTCAACTATGATTGGTTTATACCTATGAATTCAGTCACATGAAGTCAAGTAGTGCGATCTTCTATAGGAAGAGTCTCAGATTTTTTTTTTCTTTTCTTTTTCATTGTAACATTTAGCATTCATCTTGAAAAATATATATCATATTAGATGCATTTTACAGATGTGAATATAACATGAATCTCAACAAATCCTTGTTTGAATACTTGGATTTCAAGTATAACAAGAGATAGATAAATGAATGATGATTTCCATTAAAGAGGATATAGTTGAGGAGATGGATGGTGAACTGCTCGAACACTATACAATCAAAGTTAAATTCTAGCAACCATGCCATGATTTAGTTTGATATTAAATAATTTTGTTGGGGCTCTGGCTGTCAGAATTTATGGTAGGTAAGGGTAAAGTAGGACAATGTGCTACCAATAATTAGTTGCATACATGCCTTGTATATGAGGGGGGTATGTGAGGAGTGGAAGTTCGTTATCATTTTGATTAGGTAATAGAACGAAAGAGAGTTTCCATCCCTTTTGAACTAGCAACGTCTAATTAACTTGGAATAGATGTTCTTCACCCTATTTTGTATTCTCCCAAGTAAATAAACTCTCGATACCTATTATTTCCATGTGTAATTGGTTGCTATTAATGGTTATAAGGTTTGAATGAGAATCATATTCCTTGTAGTGCGTTCATACAACTGAACACAAAACTCTAGTCGAATGCGAATTAAGATTCTGATAAAAAGAGAATTCGGATTAGATCTAATGACTATTTGAAGTATATGATACTTTTATACTTGTCTTACCCTTTATTAGTATCATCTAAAACCTAACCAAAAAGAATGGTTCTTCCACACAAAGAAAAACCGTCTTCGTAGTATTTAATACTAGGTTTGTTCTCGTTTGTGCTCGAGTTAATGGTATATAGACGTGTATCTATTGTTTATTTATTTATATTGAACACAAAATTTCAACAAAAATCTCACGTAACAAAATCTCATTATGATTTCTAATATGTTATCATAAGCATTGCACGAGTTGATGAAATGCGCAAACGAGTCGGAAGGAGCATATTTACTTCAATCCATACTAACTCTAGGTTGAAGCCAAATCTAGTAACTCCCAACCAACAAACTAAAACATTCAGTCTCCTAATTTCATTTCTTGTGAAGATTCAGAACAGAAAGCACAACCAAACAAAGAAACATGACAGAACCAGCAATGGAGATGACAAGTGCAGCTGTGAAGTGGTGACAGTAACCTTCAAAGAAACCACAGACTTTTATCCAATGCATATGCGAGTTCCCATCTCGACCGATGATTCCAATGGCTGCAGCAGCACCATCGGCAGAGAACAATAGCCCCACCATAATCAGGTCAAAGGATATGAGCAACAACGACCTCATTGGATCGTCTTTTTGACCTCGAGTCTTAACCGAGTACACCAAGGATACTGCAGCATAAGCACATGCTATGCAGTTCGACACCACAAAGTACCTAAGCGAAAGAAAATTAGAGGTTCAACCACAAAAAAAGATAGAAAAACAAAAAGATTTGAAGAGGGCATGATGAGGGAAATAATGAACGCTTGACCAAAAACAAATCGAAAGTGAAAAGAAAATGGTTTCAAGGTATGAAAAAGCTATATCACATAGAGTATGTGTTAGATCCCACATCAATTGGGGGAGGAGAACAAAACATTCTTGATAAGGATGTAAAAATCTCTCTCTCACTTGGAAGGAAAATCCAAAAAAGATAATATTACGGTTGAGGCGGTTAAAGTATGTTTGAAATGAGTTTTCAAATCTTGAAAACCTCTTTCAACACGAAAAAGTATATATTTTGAATACTTAAAAAGTCATTCCAAACATACTCTTAATATATAATGTCACAACCATGGTCATCGTGAGTTCTCCACCCACGAGACAAGTAGGTAAGTATCAATCTTAGAAGAATGTTACGACTTAAAACTACAAACCAAACAACGCAACAAGAACCCACTATGTCGTAGAGGGTAAAAGAAAATCACAAGGCTCAACCGGGATCAGAACAAAGTAAGTATAACTCGATTTTAAACACTAAAAATTTTCATAGAGGCATTTCATCAAACACCAAGAAGGCATCTCAAAACACCACAAACAAGAGCGAAACAACGAAAACTCACTTAAAAGCAGACATGTACTGCCACTTAGCCGAAGCATAAAAATGGATAGGAGGCAAGCTCTTGGTGAGAGTAACAGAGAGAATCTTGGACTCATTATCAACACCCACAACAACAGCAGCAACTAAAGTAAAAGCCAGACCCAAAAGCCTCACTACCCCATCAAAGGGCCATCGCAGTCTTCTTCTAGCGCTCTCGATAACTTTCACATGGCTTCTCACGCCATCCCCATCCCCATCCATGGCCGTAGCTGCTGGCTTCAGCTGCATTCTTTCAGCAAGAAGAAACGAGAGCTTCTCAGGCCGAAACAGAGCATTTGGAGTGAACAAAAAGGAATTCAAAGCGGGAGGGAAGTGTGTTTGGTTAGAAAATCAGGGAGTTGGGGCAAAAATTTAATTCCTCACAAACAGAAATAAATGCCAAGCAGTTGGAACTATTTATTATTATTTATTTACAAATTTAGTGTACTCAGACCCTTTTTAATTTATTATTTAATTTTTAATACCATATAATAAATTTATGAAATTTTAATTTAATATTTCCATATTAGACAGATTTAGAAACCTATTAAATATTAAATTTTATGAATTTATTAGATATAAAATAAAAGAAATTAAGAATTTAAATATTTTTTTTTTAATATTTGAGCAATTTCTCTCTATTATTTGTTTAATAGATTACGAGAGTCTTTTCGACCAGCTGGGTAAAATGTCGTATACAAGGCATTTAATATTTTTCGTGAATGAAAGAGATATTTTCTAGTTTGGAATTATTTTGCATTTATTATAATTTTTTAAAATCTCAATTTATTACATTATTTTACATGATATGGCTATTCATATATAGCCACGTAAAAAAATGTATCATTATTGTGGACCATGTTTTGTGTACTATGGACACATTAAATGGTTACATATCAATATATATTTAATTAGTAGTACGTGTTCAAAGCAGTTCGATTAACCCAATCCAACTTGGATTGGATTGAGTTAGGTTTAAATAAATGACAAATTTATAATTTGGTTGGTTCACGTGTTCCCTGAAACTAAATTGAGTTGAACCGAACCAATTCGAGTTTATTGTTAATTTTAACATATGTATTTTTGCTTACGATACAGGTACATATATTTATTTTATTTTTATTTGATTTTATAATTATATTTTTAATTTTTGTTGCAAATCATTATTAAATTATTTTCTCACCAACCCATTGATTCTTTGTTCCTAAAATTAATTTTTCTCTTCAATTTTAGTGGTTGTGGTTTAATAAATAAGATGGCTTTGGAACATGCCTTGGACGGCATGGTGATATGACACATGTCTAATCTATTAAAATTTTGTTTGATACGCGGTTGGTTTTGACTCCCTTATTCCCGTTAGTCTTGAGTGTCGAAACGGGGCAGGGGCTTCCTCTGCCATCACTATCCGACCTATCCAGTGAGTTTTCATCGAGGGGGACGTGGATTAATAATTATTACGACAACCCAGATGAGGCATCATCTTCCCTACCCAACCTGGCTGCACCACATGCAGCTCAGCAAAATGTAGAGGGTGAGGAGAGTTCCACCCCGAAACTGACCCTTCGAGTAGTATAGGAAGCTTCGAATGCTCTTGTTACAGAGATCTCTTAAATTTAAATGGTAGTATAAGTTTTTTTTTTTTTTTTTTTTTTTTTTTTTAATTTTAAATTTTCAATCATTATTTTAATTTTTTCTAAGATGTTATTTGAATTTTTGTCGGATCCTAAAATATAAAAATAATTTTTTTTTTATAGTTTTAAAAAGAAAGAAATTCACAAGCAAAAAGATTTCTTTAGCTAGAGAGGGTCGGAGATTGAGATTATATTTTTAGTTCTTATATATATTTATTTAGTTACTTAATAAATAAATATTTGTCGTTGTAATATTAAAATTTAAGTTATTAATATTTTTGTTTATAAAATATGATTGAATTTACTCTATATTTTCTCTATTTCAATAAAAATTATTTCATGAAATTAATATTTTTTTAATCTATAGAGAAAAATTCCTAATCCAATAATGACGTAAATAATAATTTGAAACGTTTTTGCATTTTTATTGGATATTAAAAAATAATTTATTTTCTCGTCTTCGCATCTGTTTCGCTTTCCTTCTCCGTTTTGCCCTAATTGCTTTCAATTTCATTCAATCTGTAAATTTTGTGCTTTTTACGACAATGAAGAAGCGCACTGGGGAAGATGAAGTTCAGAATCGCCCAAAATCGGCATTCATGAAGAACAAGAAACACAAGAACATGAAACGGTTGGGAGGGAAGGGGCTTTCGCTTGAGGCGTTTGCCAATGTGAAATCAACTACCGACTACTATAACCCAGCTTTAATAAGTATGATACTGCTCAATCTGGGTTGCGTTTACTTCTTTTTGATTTTTTATCATCGCCTTAAGTTTGCTGCTCACTTGTTGATAGATCTGTGAAATCTAGGTTGTGAATTTTTGTTTAGCTGTTATGGACCTCGAAATGTTGTTGCAAAACCACTGTTTTTGTTGGAGAATGGAATTTGTAGAGAGAAATTCGTATTCTCCGGTGTTTGATTTCGTGTTTCGAATTGGGGAATTACATTGCAAAAACTGGTTTAATGGTTTGCTTTAGGAGATTGGATATTGGATGGTCTTTGTTTATGGTAGTGATTGATTCTCGTGTATGTATTTATGTTCAGAAAAGCAAAGAGAGTTCTATAAGAATGCTAAACATGTCAGCAAGTATAAGAAGTTAGTAAAGCATCAGAATCACCACAATGAGAGGCCCTCTAGCTCTACTGTTGGACTTGTCGAGGTATGACCTGTTTTATGAGTATCTAATATCGCGTAAAAGTTCAATTATGTTCATTTGCCTTCAATGCTTGGTGAGTTTTGAGACTCTTGAGATGCCTTTAGTTATGTTGAATGAGAAAATGGTATTGCAAACTATTGCATAAGATAAGATGATCTGTTGCAAGTTTTCCTACAAAGAGAGAGAGACGAGAGCTTTGTTTCATTTTGGTTATTGAAGTTATTTTCGGTCACTATTTGTTGGTTGTGATTTGGATAAGCAATCAACCCAATGGGTATCTATTTCATTTCATTCTTGTTATTCAAAGAGACAGAGAGGAACTTTGTTTCTTTTTGTTTGTTGAAGTTATTCTAGGTGCCTCTGTCACTATTTGTTTATTGTGATTTGAGTAGACATCGAACCCAACGCCCATCCATTTCATTCGCTTCTTATTATCGAGAGAGAGAGAGTGGAGCTTTGATTCCTTTTGTTTATTGAAGTGCCTGTCACTTTAGGCATTCAGAAAACTCAATGAACCCTACCCTTACAGTTTTTTAGTCGAGTTATATTATGTTTGAGTTGAGTTCGGTAATTAAACGTATAGGTTGGACTGGTTTATGGGTTTACTTCAACTTAGTTTAGTCGAATCCAATCAACCGAAGTTTATTATTGATTTAAAATACACTTGTTCTTCAACAACTTTTAAAAATACTCGGGGAGGCAGCACTTGAAGTTATTAGAGTGCTCACTAACTGGAGCAAATATTCGAGGAGGCCGCTATAATGTGACTAATAGTTATTTAGGGGTCATCCAGTCTGATGTCCCACATTGGTTGGGGAGGAGAACAAACCACCATTTATAAGAGTGTAGAAACCTTCCCCTAGCAAACGCGTTTTAAAGCCTTGAGAGGAAGCCCGAAAGGGAAAGCCCAAAGAGGACAATATTTGCTAGCGGTGGGCCTGGGTTGTTACATCCAGATTTTTGGTCTACATCCGATGAAAAACAGTCACATTGTGGTGGTGGTGGTTGAACAATTTTTTCCTTAACGGCCCTTACCACCTAATGGCGAGGTTCTTGAAGTGAACATGAAGCCATGGTGCACCATCGCCAAAAGGCAAGGAGAGTACCATGTTGATGGCTGCCTTAATGGACTTTTTCCAGTCACAATAAATCCTTGGTAGCCCACAGAAACATTAAAGGTTGTCTCACCTTATGGGCAGAGAAAAATAAGAAGGGGGAAGAAGAAGGCAGGTCGGAAGAGAAGCACAATAATTATTGAAATTCCAACTGCCACGCTAGCGTTTAAGAACATGCAGCTATTGCTTGTTGCATTTAATTTTTCTCCTTCAGCCCTTTTATTTTTTATTTTTCTAAAATATCTTTACCTTTATTCATTATTTAAAATGATTTTGTTAATATTTTTCACAATTTGAAATTCTATTTTTTTAAATCTATTATTTATTGATTTATTTAATGCACCTGCTTCATTTAGTTTATTCTTTTTGGTTGCCTCTTGACTTAAGTTTATCAGGAGACTTGAGATATCTCTCGTAGTTTGAATATAGTGCGACTTACTAATCTCGAATCGTTGCGTTGGATCTAAAAGATATTCTCTATCCCGTCCAACCCAACCTATGAATACCGCTTTCTATCACTATTTGTTGATTGGGGTTTGGAGAGACATCGAACCCAACCGGCATCTGTTTCATTCCCTTCCTGTTATGATAAGAATCTTGTGTGTATAGAATGTGCTGCTTGAACTATTAACCGACTCGCTTTCTTGCTGGTTCTTAAAGGGTGAAAATGGAACGAAATTGGAGAATCAGACGAACGGTAGACGTGGGAAAGAAAGGAATAAAGGCATACCTAGTCTCCAGGAACTGTATGAGAGAAAGCATGAAGAGAAAGAGAAAGCAAGAATGGAGAAAGAAGCTATTATCGCTGCAAAAAAGGAGGAACAAGAAAGGGCTAAAGCTAGACGAAACACCACAAGAGAAAAAATGCTCAAAAGGACGCAAAAAGGTCAGCCAGTTATGAAGTACCGAATTGAGCATCTTTTGAAAACTATTGGAGCCTCAATGAACCAATGATGAGGCCTTTGGTTGTTTTGGCTGGACTTGGTGGAAAAAGCTTTTGTCTGCTTTAGGATGTAATGAATTACATTTATAATCTAATCTAAATGATCCATATGCATTACACTATTGTATTGCCGTCCCTTTGTAAGTGCTTGGATGCAAGTTTCTTAGCTTTTAGTTGAATTTAAAATGGTCAATGTAACACCCGCGAGTAGATATTGTCTATTTTGGCCTGTTATATATCACCATCAGCCTCATGGTTTTAAAACGTGTCTGCTAGAGAGAGGTTTCCACACTCTTACAAGAAAATGTTTTGTTCCCCTGTTCAACTGACGTGGGATCTCACAATCTCCCCCTTAGGGGCCAACATCTTTGGTGGTACGCCGCCCGGTGTCTAGCTCTGATACTAATTGTAATAGCTCAAGCTCACCCATAGTAGATATTGTCTGCTTTGACTCTTTACGTATTGCGTCGGCCTTCGGCCTTACGATTTAAAACGCGTCTATTAGGGAGAAGTTTTTATAACCTTATAAGAAATGTTTCGCT